AGATGGGGTCCCACGAACTCTATCCGTCCCTTTGGGTTCCGGAACAAGAGATCACCCATTCGGGTTTGTGGGTGGTGAGTTTTTCAAAGGACTCTACTTTTATGATTATTTAAAATCATTAACAAAATTTTATGTTTGCCAATTCAAAGGCAGACTGGAGACGGGAATCCTGAAAACTCTGGTAATTAAATTGACTTAAAATGAAAAAGAATCTATCTATTTTTCTCCTGAGGATGTGTGAGAAATCGTATTGTTACAATAGTCTTACTTCATCCCCCTATTAATGCGATGAGAAAAACTGTGTCTCCAGCTTTATCCTTCCAACGATAACGCTTCATATTTTTAATTATTATTAACTCTTTAGTTCTTTCTTTTTTCTCTAACAATTACACAATATGTGTCTTTTTCATCACCATGATATTGGCGACAACAGTACATTCATATTGGTAACATCCTGACATGAACATTACAAATTGGAGATACCCAAATCAAACAAATACAACAATTTAAATATCTTGTAAGTTTTTTTTACCAAATAACGGAAAATGCGATACTGAAATCCGAAGGTGTATTGAAATTGATACATCCCAACAGCTATTAAGTATTAAGAAACTGGAAAATTTCGTTAGAAACAAAGAAAAGAGTATTGAACTGTTACGTAATCTCAATTCTTTTATATGGTAGGGAATGTTGGACAATCTTTTCACAGTTGAAGAAGAGAATTGAAGCAACAGAAATGTGGTTCTACACAAGGATGCTGAGAATATCATGAACTGAACATGTGAGCAACGACGAAGTTTTAGAGAAAATGGAAACAAAAAGGAAAGTTATACTTAACACCAGGAAGAGATAATTGAATTTTCTAAGGCACATAATGAGGAAAGAGGGCTTGGGAAATCTGATACTCACAGGACAGATTGAAGGTAAGAGGGACAGAGGAAAACAACACATAATCTACCGAACGTAAATGGATGACAGAATAAGGTTTAGAAGACATGGCAAAAAGACAAAATTTATTAAAAGCTACGAAGGACAGGAAATTGTGGAGAGCCATAATTGTCAACATCCTAAAGGGACGCTGTATATAGAAAAAGAAGAATCATGTCTTAATCCAAGCATATTATCTAACCATCGATGTTGAAAGGGTGAATGTTTCGTTTCCTTCCCGAGTGTCTTACAAAACAGGTATCTGGCGGCTGGCGATACATTATTAAAATTGCACTGGCAAATGGAAAAGATGTGATACAATAGAGTTATTACTGGAAGTAAGGATGACGGGAATAACCAGGCCTCATGCTAGATCATCAAAGATGTCGAACTTTGTTTTACAAGTTTTCAGTTAAATAGAAATATTGCATTTGCATCTAAACGTTTAAGATGCATGTCAAATGTAAATATATAGGCAAAAAGATAAATTGGTGTATGTTGTAGCATATCTACGAACGATAATGGCTATGTCCACATTCACATAAATAGAATAGTAAATACTGTATGTTGGTCTGTAATTGGAGATTCCTCTCCGGGCAGAGAGAATCCCCAGACTAGGCTATGTCGAAGGGCAGAGTCACGTCTCGGGAAACAGCTACCCGATGTTTTATACGGGGTATACGGGGAATTTTTGGCCGAGCCTACGGGCTCAGATATCCACATTATATTCGGCCTTGTGCATTATCTGACCGCGTGTGGTTGTTGGTAGATATCCTACAGTTGGAGATTCATTGGGGAATTCACTTGACTCACTTCTAGCAGTTGACTACATCTTCTACGTGCCGCTGGCGAATCTTATATGTGTTGTTCTTGTCCTAGGTATTATCGTTCATTACCAACCTTTATTTGATTATTCTATTCAGTAACCTTCCCTAGGTTACAGTGTATAATATTTTTTACAATAATGTTGTCTATATATAAGGCCTAAGAGTCACTTGTGGTTCGAAGGTTGCAGAGTAAGGGACAGAGTTTATAGGACTATGTGGAAAAGATAACGGTTAATCCAATTGCTAATTAAATTACACTGTTTTTACCCTCTTGCGAAATAAGAAAATCACAGATATAAACAGAGGAGAATCCTTAAAACGTAGTAATAATTAACATCTGCAACTAATTATTTTATATTTTTGTAAAAGTAGCTTTTAAGTGTGTGAAACAAAAGAATTTGTTTTCTTTCTTTATATGATGACCAAATCTTTGGCTGCACGCAATTTGAATATAACTGTAGTGTACTAATATTAATAGAAAATGATTAACAAGAGTGCTATAAAATAAAGAAGTTTTTATTTCCTTCTTTTTTACAAAAAACAAAAATTGAATCGTTCGTGTTTTGTTTTTCTTTGAAGTCTCTGCGAGTTATCAACAGCCGCGTGGCGTTTGAAAAGCATTATCGCCAAGTTGAGAATCATAATTTGATACTGTTCGTTCAGCAGTCAAAATAGCGGGCTGCAGTGAGACACAGTTGTATTCATCTTGTCGGGCAAGTAAACTGTTCTGAGGTAGTTTGAAAATATTGTCATTTGTATATTGTTTTGATGGGCACACGCATGTTAGCTCCACAAATTTCTTACGAAGTGACCGCGTATTTTTTGTACGCCGATTGCTCAAAAAATGTGGTCGAGTGTTTTATTTTCATTAGAAAACATGCGTTTTTTATATATTAAGAATTGCGCCAAAGTTGATCCAATTTTTCTTGAACCTTCCTTGATGGGGAAATTGGATCATTTCCTATTATAACCCATTATGTACGTTTCATTCCAAAGATTTTATTATAATAATAGTCTATATTAAACTTTATCGATAGAGATATTTAACAGAAAGAGAAGACAATGTACAGTTAAAGTTTAACTGTACATTGTCTTCTTTTTTGTTAAATTTTTCAATGTCAAAGATTATTTTAACTTTTTTCAGATAGTTTAACTGTTAAACTATCTGAAAAAAGTTAAAATAATCTTGACTTCATGATTTAATAAGGGAATTTACGTAGCATCAAATAATAAGTTCAATATTTTTTTTTTTAGCCAACAAGACTTTTCGATTTTTAAATAAGTAAAATAAACACTTACTCTTTATTGCTTGTGATTTCTTCACCGTGAAAGTTGTTTATATCATATTCAGAAACACCATCCTCATCCTCGCTGTCCGAGTTCGCATTTGTGTTGGTGACCGGTAACAATAAACAACAAAGGGTGATAACTCTTGTCCACATCTTCTAGCACTTTACAAAGAAAAAATGTAGTATTAGTAATAATAATAATCATCAGAGATTAAGATACACTGTCCACCGCGTGGATTGAACTCACAACCTTCAGTAATCTAGCTAGAATCTTTAGCTATTAATGATGCCATCCTTGCTGACTGAAATGCCATCACCCAGTAGAGCTCTATAAAAGGCTTTTCCACTATAGTCAGCTTTTTGTCTCTTGCCTGGATGACCTTTGTCAATCGGCTTTAAAAAAAGCGAAAACTAAGAAGTCAAAATGAACCAACAATTATTACCTAATTTAAACTACGATAGTATGTCCTGAAGGGACACGGTACATAGAAGATGGGCTACATTTATCTGACCATAATCAGTTGGTTATGCCCCTTAAGGGCTGACACACTGCATATCTGTTCATGAGCAAGACCAATGATAATAATATTAAAAAAAAAACATCAAATGCAAATAATATGCGCAAGAGCTATCCACTATATCAGAAAATAGTGAAGTTATTATTCTCTGGGATATGCCAATCCAATTTTTCTCTACTTATATTCAAGGCCCAAGAGCCACTCAAGTCATGGAATTACTGTGTGGTGTTGCAAAAGTCAAAAAGTGTAGTTTATGAGGTTATGTAGGAAAGATAAGGGTTAACCTTAGACTTGAAGAGGTCAAGGTTGTAGTGATCAGGAAAACATATTGCCGGGCATCTGTTCCACAAAGCAAGAGTTCTTGGGAAGATGCTGTCCGAGTGGAACTTACTTCTTATTAATGGAATATGAAAGAAATGGGGATGATTCACCCTTGTGTAGGTGTCATGGAGGGTTAGGGTTGGGGTTAGTAAAGTAACGAGAGGCTTGCGACGTTCCGTCTGTGGGAAAGAGGTTGTTGGGTGGAAAATAATTATTCACCTACAAGTCCGCGTAAACGTTTTGGAACTCTACCAAGACAGGGGAGGTAGACAGACCCGGGAATTTTTGGCCTAGCTTACGGGCTCGGATTGCCCTACATTAAATTCGGCCTTGTGCCATATCCTACCCCGTGGGGAGGTTGGTAAATATTAATAGCTGGGATCTGTTGAGTACGACTCAGACTTACGCGAGAACTACCAACCTTCCAATAGTAGCACTCACGACTGGATTGACTTGCGACGACCTTTATTCTTGTACTGTTTTTTTTTTTTTTTTTTTTTTGCAATAAACCTTTACTTATTTTATCCACCTTGTTTTTCAAGTATATATTCCTATTAGCACAGAATAAAACATATTGTCAATCATCAACTATAATAATCGACAGGGTCGGTGCTTACTACTCCAAATCTCTCAGCCGCGTGGGGACTACATGCTTTTTTGAGAGGTAGGGGGCAGAAGTGTTAATTTCAGTAGCGCTTATTTTTTTCAAATTGTAATTTTCTTTCTGAACAGTTTTTTTTAATCAATTAAGAGGGTAATAATATATCTCGGTAAAATCATTTTTTATTCCGAGATTATCCACTAAGGATGATCTTTGATTTTTTTTATTAATATTAATATTTGGTCTGATCTGGCTTTTGTAAAGTTCCATTGATTTATTTGAACTCTTTGCTGATTATTTAAAACCAGAAAATATTCTTTAGATTGTAAGAAGTTTTTTTTATATAATAATGATTTACTGATACAAGTCCTACTAATTAACCCATAGCTGGGGAGGTAAGAGGTGGATTCGTGCCATTCCTGAGAGTATTTGCGCGTAAGTGAATATAACGAACCTAGCTGAAATTGGCTCTCCGATTTCCACTTCGGTGCCATTGTCTCCACCCGCGCATCTAAGCTTTCAGTACCTAGTATTCCCAAGCCGTCACCCATCTAGCTACGGGCGAGATTCGACGTTGCTTAACTTCGGTGATCGTACGAGAACTAGTTTTTCAGCGTGATATGACTGTAAACCATTTTATAAAGACAGAATATAACAAGGAGAGTCAGAAACTTATTGGAACAGGGCAATGAACCAACCATTTCCAAGTGTTTTTACTAATCATATGTGTTCAACTTGAGTTCTGGGGTAAGCTTGAGTCCCAATAAACGTTCAAGCAGGGCCGGCACGTCTTACTCCCAAAACCCCCAACCGGGAGGGCCGCGTCTTTTGGGCCCCGTTGTAGCCTCTGCCATTTTAAAAAATGATTTTTAAACTGACGTTACATTGTCAGTCATCAACTAATAATATACATTGTGTATCTGCATGACCGGTGCGTTACTACGCAGGACACCCCTGATGAGGTTGGAGGGCTAGTTTCAGCAGTGTTTTTTGCACTTTTGACTTTTTTTCTACCTAAGATATAATGTCAATCATCAACTATAATAATCGACAGGGCCGGTGCTTACTAGCCCCGAATCGCTCAGCCGCTTGGGGGCCATATGTCTTTTTTTTGGGGGAGGGGGCTAATTTCAGTAGCGCTTATTTTTTTAAATTGTAATTTTTTTCTGAACAGTTCTTTTAAATCAATTAAGAGGTTAATATATCCTAATAAAATTATTTTTTATTCCGAGATCTTCCGCTAAGAAAGATATTTGATTTTTTTATTAATATTAATATTAACCAGAAGTCGACTGGTAGTAATTAAAATAAAATTTCTAGTCCCTATTTTTTACATTTCTAGAAAGATAAAACCGAGAAAATGATCGCTTAAAAAATAAAAATGTTTAAAGATTTCAACACATGAAAAATTTTTCCGAAAATTGAAATACTGTTTTTAAAACAAATTTTTAAGACAATCCTGTTTGTGTTGTGTTGGAATCTTTGTCAAGCTTTCTTTTTTTTTTCATTTTTTTTTTTTTTTTTTTCAATGATGTGTCGGCGATTAATCTTTATGGAAATGTAACAATTTGCGACTTAAATATTTTTTTCGAGCAAAATTTACTCATGAAAATATTGGTGGTTATTACAAAAAGAATAACATTTTGTCAGATTTAAAAAAAAACCTATTCATTATAAAAGTAAATACTTAATCAATATGTACTTAAATTTTCATTTAAATTGGATAATTCCTTGACTTTTGGTAATTAAAAAAAGCGCTGCAAGCCCCACCCCCTCTTGGTTCTCAGGTCGGGAAACTTTGAAATCGACATATAGTAGTGAGGTGGGTATATCAACGTTTCGCAGGTGGTGGGGTACGAGGCCCTAGATATTGCTGTGGTCTTCGTGTCCCACATTTTCTCTATTTATATTTCTAGAATTGGAGAATTCTCATGGAGGGGTTTCTTTCATTGGAGACAGACATGTCGATGAGCAAACAAGTTCTTTCCTTCTCCATCTTCACTAATATATCAGGTCTGCGTTCAGAGAATACCCTTCCATCATGCCCTCCTGGGTATGACGATAAACTACATCTGCGTCCTGGGTAAGACGATAAACTACGTCCGACAGTAAGGCTTCTGATCAGGAGGTTTTGAGGAGCGTGGAACCATCTCTTAATTGTTGGTGTTCCCAGGTCCACCCTGACCCCGGGGTGGTATCACCTGTTAGGGTCCCAGCTATGGGCAAATAGTTAACCCCGAAACTGATGTAAAAAGCATTATAAAAGTGTAAAAATAGGTTTTAATACCAGAAATACTTTGTAAAAAATTATTACCAGAAATAAATTTTTGAAAGAAAAAAATCTATTACCAGCAATATATTTTTGAAAAATAAATATTACCAGCAATACGTTTTTGAAAAAAAAGACTATTACCAGCAATATATTTAAAAAAAAAAAAACTATTACCAGCAATATATTTTTGAAAAGAAATATTACCAGCAATACGATTTTGAAAAAAAAAAATATTATCAGCAACACATGTTTTAAAATAATATTATCAGCTATACATTTTTGAGGAAAAAAATATCACCAGAAATACATTTTTGAAGAAAAAACTATTACCAGAAATACATTTTTTGACAAAACAAAATATTACCAGGAAAAAAAAAGTTGTCGGCATTAAATAACCCACTGAGGTTGATATGCCGTAAAACACAACAAACCAAACCAAACATTTCATCATATTAAGCGAACGTTCTGGGTCTGCTTGGTGATGGTGGAATGTTACTAGTTTGGTTTTGGTTATTCCTGTCTCCATTGAGTCACCAGGGAAGATAGATGAGATGCTAGGTTCTGATCTTCCAGATTTTGGGAGGTACACCAATAAACTGTTGTGTCATTCACACAGATACTCACTAATGATTGGAGCATACTCTTAGGCATATCATTAATTATAGAGTAGAAATGGCTCGCCGTTAACAAAGACCTTTCAGGGATCTACCCGTATGGAAGGACTTGATAATTGAGAAATGGATAAAGAAATTAAAGCCAACAGACCTGATATATTAATGAAGAAGAAGAAGGAAACAACTTGTTTGCTTATCGACATGTCTGACCCCAACGAAAGAAATCCCTCCATGAGAATTCTCCAAATTTAGAAATATAAATTGAGAAAATGTGGGGCACGAAACCACAGCAATACCAATGGTGATAGATGCCCTCTGTCTGGTCAAGAAAGGGATGGAAAAATAATAAAATCCCTAGCAACACCAAGAAGTTCAGAGATCGTCATCCTCATTACTGATTACACATTAAGAAGGACTTTGTCAAATAAATGCATCACACTCTTATGCGAACGCTAAATCCAAGGCATAGACTCAGCTCCATGAGTTGACAAAGCAGAACATTTAAGGAAACAATTCTCAATAATAATAATAATAATAATAATAATTTTATAGAAATTTGGAACTAAAATTTGAAACCTATTTTACTAAGAACCATAGAGTGACAGATTTATTTTGTTTTTTTACAGCTCTTTGTGGGTTTCTCTCTATGCCTCTAAGATGAGGTATTATGATTACTTGCATTATTTACATTATTCTGACTGTTATCCACATCTTCATTGCCGTATTCACAATGTTTCGGCCGTTGTATCCTCCGGCCATCTTAAGGTGCTTGGAATTACGAATCGAACCCTTTATTTCATCCGCAGGGGTAGAATGTTCTAGTTCCACGTGCCATGCCCCTTCCGGATGTCTTTCCAACTGTATTCTCTAGGTCATATATAAATAAACTCTAACCTCAGACTACTTCCCCCGTAATGAGATACCTCATCCCCCACCCAGTAATCAACATAAGCCCCTTATCCTAAATAAGGCGTCTCTCGGAGGGGAACTGATATTGAAAATAAATTCTAATGCCTCCCTTACAGACAAACACTTAAGAGCTGAAGACGGCTGGGTTCAGATCACCCAGAAATAGACTATAATCATACTGAGGTAATTTTGGTTTTTGCCATAAAAAAAAAATTATATGCTCTGATATAATGAAGAATTGAGCTCTCTGTGGATTAGTTTTAATATTTGTTATTACTAGGATCCGCTTGAATTATATACCAACGGATCTATTACATTTACTATATATATATATATATATATATATATATATATATATATATATATATATAAATTTTTTTCTCAGAGTTAACCTGTAGAAAAAGACACCTTTCCTAACAGAATTACTACTCTCCCAAACCAACGTACACAACTGTATCAAGAAATCAAATGAAAATGGTTGAATCCGTCAACACAACAATAAAAACAATATTTCCATCCATACGTGATAGTACTTGACGTAATTTTCAGTTGACAATATGAATACAATAGAGTTTTCTAAATTCTTTTAGTTATTAAGGGCATTTTGTTTGTTGTTAATAGTCATTTTGTTTTTAATAAATTCATTTCGTTTTTTGCTTTGAAAAAGTCCACATTGTACAGTTTTCCTATTGTTTTTTACCTTCATATATATATATATATATATATATATATATATATATATATATATATATGGAGGTGGGAGGGGAGGATTAATACAAATATAATGATTGTCACTGAGCTGGTTGGTGTTACTTTCAGCATCCCGACTTCAGAGTTTCGTAGACGGAACTGCCAGCGATTACGCCGTCCACTCGCCAGGGATACATGTCAAATTAATTAGTTTGAAGTTGCCTCCATGATTCCTGAAAACAACTATAACATTCTGGATTGCCCTTCAAAGCAGCTTGCTGTCCGGCTGTATTCCCTTAGTCATCTGGGATATTTGGATATTCACGTTCAGTAACCAATATAGCACATTCCCGGCCCCATAAAATCCTGCCACGTGAAGTAAAGTTTTGTGCCTTGTTCCACTAAATAAACGCAATCGCTCAATTTGATTGTAGCGAGCAGCATTAGTGGTCTGTCCTAAAATCGTCCACGTAATTCACTTCACAAACATGTTAAGCCAAATATTTCAGACACTGAAAACTGTCCTATTGAATCGTATAGTATGGTTATGGTTGCATTTATCACAGAAAAAGGAGTCGACCGTAGTGGAACCATCGAGACAATGCGAACAATCATTTCCTTAGCTGCATAGTATGTGCTTCGCCGGGGCTACGTTCAGTTTTGAATTCAGAGTTTTCCTTTTCCTAGACCGGTTGCCACCCATAGCTATAGTGCACCAGGTCTCTGTATTCGGCCCTTCCAAAAGTGTGGATGGTTCTGCGCAAAACCTTCACCACTATATTCAAATCTCATGTCGGTCTGTGGGTTTCTACGAAATGATTGGCCTGACTCTCATACGTCGAATTCATCGGGAGAGTTTGAGTATATATATATATATATATATATATATATATATATATATATATATATATATATATATATGGTGGTTCCCAAATTGAATTTCAATTTGAATTATCTTTACACTGTTAAAATGTAGGAATCAATTCATTAATTGGAGATTAATTTCTATTTATTGTGGTGATTGTTAATCTGAAAATCTAAATAATCCTGAAAAATACTAAACGCATGGTTGCTTTAATTTATTTTTCTAAGGTAATTCTTTACGTTTTATTCATGTTTATTTTAAATTCAAAATATGATTAAA